AACCCAACACTGCACTCCTGGACGTGTATGATTGTGTGTGTGAACAGGCAAGTCCAGAGAGAGAGAGAGAGAGAGAGAGCAGCTCAGTGGTTGTCTGAGGTTGGGAGAAGAAGGGAACGGATGTGACTGCTTTAGAAGGTGTGTGTATCTGTGGGGTGACAGAAGGTGTCTGGCAGTAGATGGTGGTGCAATACTGTCCATCTGCCAAGTGTCACTATTGGTCAGTTTCTTCAAAAAGTTTATAGAAAAATGTTACGGGAAAAACCGCGTGGCCTTCAAAAAATTTGGGGGCACTCAAACAGATCTTTGAATTCTGTTCTTCCATGAATGTTTTGAAGTCCCATTGTGTATTTTATCACAACAAAAACAGAGCAGGACCTTGATTGGGGCTACCGTGCCTGAATGCAGGACAGGCCTGCACTACGGCCTAAGGTGTAGTGAGGGTTAAGTCCGGAATCCCGACTGTCCTCCAGGGTGAAACTTTTTTCTGAGCAGGCGCCTTTCCCCACCTCCCCCATTCGAAACAAGTCACCACTGAGTCTCCTGCTGATCTCAGCTCTCATCCCTGGCACAGCCTGAGAGGTGAGTTCTGCTGATGGTCTTTCCTGACTGTGGGTTTCTGTGAGAGCCCTTTCCTACATATCTTTAAGAACTCGGAGAGAGCTGCAACAAAGGTCCGCTCCCATCCTGAGAGTACTGTCTCAGAAAATGCACAGTGCATCATCGAGTGTTTAATTTGTTAAGCCAGCATCCATCACTGGACTAAATGGGCCATTAGCATGAGCTCAAATTATCTCGCCGTCACGGGAGTGTTCTGGTTGGTTTGCTCACGTGGGAAGGGGACGAGACAGAGTGGCAAGAGGCCAAAGGGAGAACAACTCTGGAAACACCAGTTTTCTGACGTTGGAAAAAAGCTAATGAGGTTAAAGAGAGGAATATTCCATCTGTTCTCATCAAAAGGATATTTAAAAAGTCATTTATATTTTGGGGATGAGTGGGTTGGACGAGAATGAGGCAGCTCTGAAAGGCCGTGCGGTGTCTTGGGGGCTAGCAGTCTCAGATTTGGTTCTTCCTGAAACATTGATAGGAAAAAAGAAAAGATGAAGAAAAGAAACTATGGCAAAGCGATGAAGCCAGTACTTATTTTACTTAGTTTCAGGCACATTAACTCTCGTCTGCCTTTGCCTCATTTGTACCTGGCTTCACGATGCCCCCTTTGACCATACTGGGGCCAGTTCATCGCTAACAGGGTGGAACGTGGAATGAGATCTCTCCTGTTAGCCTGGAACTGCTACGGCTTCAAAGGTGAGGGCACTGGGTGGCCACACTTCCTCCTCCTGTTAATAGGTGACCCGACTGGTCTTTTGGCCATCAATAACCATCAACCTCCAGCGTACATAGGTTAAGGTCACGATGGTATCTGGAGGAGGTGTCGGTCACTCTCCCCTTTCCCAAGCCAGGAGTGAGGGCGGCTCAGAGAAGTCCCTCATCAGATGGGCAGCACAGGGGGCTGACTGCCAGCTCACCAGGGGCTGAAGGACATGTGGGGCTGCCCAGGGTGGCATGAGGGAAGAGAAAGGACAGCAGGGGGAACGGCCTTCACTCTTGTTACCGCAGAGCACAGCCGGGTTTGAACATCCTAAAAAGATTTGCCTAGTATTCCAGTAAGGGGACTTCTATAAAACAATGTGAGGGCTTTGAATGGAAAGGGGGTATGCAGGAGATATTCAGTGTACACACCGAATCCCAGTACTTCCCTACAAGTTCCCTTGGTGCACCTTGTGTTAAAGGGTCTGCATATGGCTGCTTGGCAAGGATAGCAGGGCATCTAACCCTTTGTGCCAGCTCTTCTCAGGCTTGGGGGCAGGGTGGGGGTTGATCCCTTCCCCACTCACCCCTCTGCTCCTGCCCTCCAGCAAGGTGGGCTGGAGAACAAAAGGGCCAGGGTCCGTACACCCTCCTCGGCTCTCCTGAGGAGTCCTTAGCCATTTGTGGGTTAGACCAGAAGGCACTGTGCCAAACCGGATGTGAGAATGGAGTTGCGATGGGACCAGACTGGACACTGATGTCACTGACCTTATAGTCACTCAGAAGCCACGGGATGTGCCGAGACACCATCCATGGACAGAGGATGGGGTGCTGACAACTCCCGCTTCCTCCACCAAGTTCAGTTCATTCAACAGCCCAGGCACAAGCATTTCTTCTCATCATGGATAAAACCACTCCAACATACGTGTCCTTCTAGCACAAAACACAGCAACATCATCATCATCAACAACAAAAATCTCAGCAGATAACTCTCGTTCTCCAAGCTGATGAGCAGCAAGGCTCTGAGCATCTCCACGGGAGAAGCACTGTCCCAAAGACAAGTAAACGCCAAGTACTTGCAGGGGCAACACAGGGAATAAAAAGTATGAATGAAGAGGACAGTCGTATTTTTTAAACAGAAAATGGAGTTTCCTTGAACTTCATGGTCCAAAAGACAACATTCGGAAATAACTCACTAGATCTCATGGACAGAGAATTTGGAAAACGCTGACTCAGTTCCCTGTCACTAGCTTACACAATCCTATCAACTACAATCTTAAAAAGATGTTCCATCCAACTTGGCCATGTTCTCTATCCTGAGTGACTTTCCCCAAGTGTACCACTAGCTGGAGTCTCTTTTTGCCCCATCAGCATAGTTCTTTAGCGTGGAGTTTTGTTCAGGGGGAGAAAGAGATGTCTTTTTTTTTTTTTCCCTAAACTTTAAGTTTCATTTATTTGAAAGGCAGAGTGGGGTGGGAAGATGTTCCCATTTACTTATTCAGTCCGCAGATGCTCACAGCCTCCAGGAGCCAGGCACCGAACCCACGTAGCAGAGAGCCAGCTACTGGAACAGTCACTGCTGCCTTCCAGGGCGCACCGTGGCAGCAAAGCTGGAGTCAGGAGTGGAGACGGAATTGGAGGGTTGCAGGTGTTCCACAGCTTAAAGCCCCAGCACAGCCTCTGGGCATTGTGTGTTGGGAATTCTGTTAGCATGGTGAGGCCTTCCTGAGCCCACGCTTCAGCTGACACTGAGCGACAAGGACTAGAATAAAGTGTGATCTGGGCAGCGCTCACACCCTGTACAAAAGCTCATCTGCGATTGACCCCTTCTTCCTCTCAAGGAGACAAACATCTTCGGAGTTGTGAACTGGGGTAGCAAGCTGCTTAAGGCAGCTCCACGCTGCTGTTCCAGGGGGCAGACAGGGAACTGGTGGTCAACAGCATTTTATTTATGGACACTGAAATGTGCATTTCATGTCACTGTCACCTGCCACAAGATAATCTCCTTTTTGATTCTCTCCCCCAACCTTTGTAAAACGTAAAAACAAAACAGAACAAACAAACCACTTAGGGGGCTATCACTTGCAGATTGTCGGTTGGGTGGGCTGGGTCAGCCCGGGCAGGCCCTCTGCGGGTGAACCTGGTAACACTCGGAAAAACACAAAACGCCTATGCTCTAAACCCTGCAGTGAAGGCCCCCAGGGCTTGTCGCGGGTCGCTTCCCGAACCTTCTGCAAGATCGGTCCTCAGGTTTATTTTCTTCCAGAAACAAACCAAAAGAAAAAAAAAAAAAAGGACAAGCAAACAGCAACAACAAAAAAAGACAGGCGCGCACGCACGGCAAGCACAGAGAGGACGTGCCCAAGTTCACGCGCACGTCTCCCCCAGCGCGCGGCGAGGGTTTTAAAGTTGGGCGCACACCTGCTCCCGGGCCGAGCGCACCTGCTGAGCGGTCCTCCGGCCTCGTCTCGCGAGAGCGGTGCCGTAGTAGTGACCCCCACCCCCACCTCGCCTGCCAGTCCCTCTCCCCGCCCCCTCGCCGCCCGGCTCCTGCACACTCGCTGCCATCACCGCCGCCACCGCCCCCGGGAGCAGCTTCGGCCCGGCGTGCGCGCTGCCCCCGCGCTCCCGCCTGCCGTGCGCTCCCTAGCTGGCTCTCACGCACACACGCCCGGTAGTAATTTCACTTCGCCTCTCGGGCGCCGCAGCCCCTAGAAAGTCCGCCCCCAGCTCCTCGCCACCCCCGCCGGGAGCGGGCCTTTTCCCTGGCCAGGTGCGCGAGTCTGCGCGCTCCTCCTCCGCCACCTCCTCCAGCCGGTCCCTGGCGCGCCCCGGGCCGGGGCCCGGCGGCTGGGGCGGCTGCGCGCACGGCGCCTCTCCAACCAACCAACCCGCTCCCCGGCAGGTCCCTCCGCTCGCTCTCCATCCTTCGCCGGCGCTCCCCCCGCCCCCAACCCCGCGCCCTGTGATTGACAGGCAAGATGTCGGTGCGGAGCGAGGCAGGAGCGTTTGCAGCAGCCGTCACCCCCGGAGCCCGGCGGCGGCAGGAGCAGCAGCAGCGACGGCGGCAGCAACAGCAGTGCGGGGAGGAGACAGCAACCGCCGCAGTAACCACCACCGCAGCCGCGAGAGCATTGCGGACCGCGCCTTGAGAACGCGCCCCAAACCGTGGACCATGCAGGGTCCCTGCAGCTGGCAGGGGCGCCAACTACAATTTTTTTGACCTAAAAGCCAGCCAGCTCCAAATATATCATTTTGTCCTTCTCGGAGCCGGTGTGTAAAGAGTGAGCGCTATTTTCCTTTTCCTCCTCCCATTCTCCTCCTCTTCCTCCCTTCTCCCCTCCTCCGTAAGAGTACAGAGAGCATCGCATCACCTGGTTGGCTACTGAGAACCGGCATCTCTCCCTTACAGAGACCAGAGACTCAGACAGAGGGGACAATTCTAATGGAGTCTGCTTGGCACCCCAAAATAAAATAATACATTTCAGCTCTCGGCCCCTCCTCCTTCCCCCGCCCCCTCCCACCCCCTCAAACCCGGGTGAGATGGTGGGGTTCTTCTTGAGGAGACACTGGTGAGAAGTCGCAGTGGTTGGACAGGCGCAGGGGGGAAGACTACCTCCACCAACACTCCCCTCCCCCCTTTTCTCTCTGGGAGGAGGAGGAGGAGGGGAAGGGGGGCTGCAGTGCAAGCGATGGATGAGGAAAACATGACGAAAAGCGAAGAGCAACCTCTGAGTTTGCAAAAAGCCTTACAGCAGTGCGAGTTGGTCCAAAACATGATAGATTTGAGCATCTCCAACCTGGAAGGGCTTAGGACCAAATGTGCTACCTCCAACGACCTCACACAGAAAGAAATCCGGACCCTGGAGGTAGGTGCTGCCCGCGGCGGAAAGCCAGCCTCGCTTCCCCTGCCCCTCTCGGCCCGCCGCTGCCTCCGCCTCCGTCCCCTAGCCCTCTGAAACTGCCGCTGGTTGGGGGCTCAGGAGGACGGGGGGCTGGGCAGCCAGGTGGGCTCGGGGTCGGTTTCTGTGATGTATCGTTTTGCCAAACCTGCGCTGGACATCGTTTCGCGGTGCGGCTGAGGTGCTGCTCGGCCGGGTTGTGGTGGTGGTGGTGGTAGTAGTAGTAATTGTTATTCCGTATTTATTATTATGGTCGCTGTCTCTGAGCATCCTCACCTGCTTCGGCGCCGAAGTGGGAGCCCTCTCTCCCCCAGCCCCCGTCCTTGCTGCTGAATGTGTTTCTCTACCATGGGGGGCTTGTGTGCTGGGCCCGCTGTGGAGGAGCTGCAGAGAAGCCCACGTGACCTTGCGCATTCTGCAGGTGGTCAAAAGGTGGCTCTTACTGGCAGAGGGGGGCTGCTGAGGAATGGACGACCTTTGCTGGGCTCAGCCACTGCCCCAACCTCTGCCCCACACCCCATTCTTCGGCCCTTTGGATTTGGATTGGGTTGGGTTGGGTTTCTGGCCAAGCAAAGTGCATGGGAAAATATCCCAGTGGAGCTGTCCATTGCACTGGGATCCTTTTGATGCAGTGAGCTGTTGCAGGCCTGACAGGTGTAGAAGAGAAAAGAGTGAGCGGGTGAGCAGTGGCTGGGTCAGCACCCACCAACAGCAAGTCCTCTTGGATCGCAGTGGGATTGCACTGAGAGGGGTTCAGAGGAGGCCTGGTCTTGGGTGTCTTGTAACCGCCTCTCAACAGAAGTTGAGGGGGAGCTTGAAGCAGATTTTTGAGGAGTGGGATGGGCTAGGGGAAGGAGTGAAGTTCCGTAAAAAGCAGCATCAGTTACTTGGTCCACGGGGGGTTCCAAGAGCCTGCGGTAACACTTGGTGTCCATGAACTCATGGGGGCGTCCACACCGTTTCAAACATCTGAAGGGTTCCAACTTGTCTGCCTTCCCACAGCCTGACTTGGCAACGGTGGTGGTGGTGGTACACAGGGCTTGCTTAGTTCTGGGGACTCCCAGGAGCTGGCATTTGCTGGGTGGGGGTGGTGGCAGCAGGGCTGGAAGAAGAGTTCTCCCTTTGGTGGAATGGGCATGGGCTGTGCAGGAATGCGGGGAGGTTCACGTCGTTTCTGGCCTGTGAGTTGTACGAGGCCTGAACTCTTCCACTCCTATGGAGCCCTGCAGTCCTCATGCTCGCAGCTGAACAAGGCTTCTCTCACACGCGTTTTCAGATCTTCGTTTTTCTTCTGGCATTGGAAATTGGGCCAGACGTCAACATCCGGGAGGCCATCCCTTTGAAAGGGGGGTTCAGTGTGTGTGTGTTGGTCCAGGCAACTTCACTGTGCCTGGTGTCTTCTCACCAGAGCCCTGTGTGTGTGTGTGTATCTTCCTGTGCTGTTTGGTGCTGAGTTTGTGTGCACCTGTCATCTGGGAACATGATCCTCAGAAATGCAAGAAGATGAATGTCATTGGGGAGTGGGGGAGTGGGAATTGTGTCAGGAGGCCTAGGTATTGCCTTTCTGAGAGCTCAAGCGAGCAGGCTAGGGTAGGATTCGGCTGTTGAAAGAATAAGTGTGGGATGCTCTGGCCCAGTCTGTATAACGGTACCCAAGAGCAGATTCTGTTCCAAACTGTGTGCAGGAAAATCGACACCCAGGTCCCCTCAGCTCCTCGGAGCCGAGAGTCCCAAGTGCTCCAGCTTCTGTGTGACTGTTTCTTGTTCCTTTGCTACCCACTTCATCCTCTAAGTAGTACCTGGATGGTAGTGGTTGTCACAGTGGGTGCTGGCTGTGGTTGCTTCCTTCCTGTACAGTGATTTCCATTTTACTTTTTAAAGATTCACTTATTCATTTTCATTGGAAAGGCAGATTCACAGAGAAAGACAGAGAGGAGGAGCTTCCATCTGCTGGGTTGCTCTCTATGACTGCAATGGCCAAAAGTGAGCCAACCAAAGCCAGGAGCCTCCTCTGGGTCTCCCATGCAGGTGCAGGGTCCCAAGGCTTTGGGCCACCCTCCTCTGTGTTCCCAGGCCACAGCAGGGAACTCTGATTTCCATTTTCCATCAGGGAGTGGAAACTTTGGGAATAGTGGTAGAGTGCGAAGAGTTGCATTGGTAGGGAGTACACCTGTGTATTCTTGCCTGGTCTCAGTTGGCTACTGAACATGTCAGCTGCTTTCTTTGTATTGTCTGGGGAGGAGTCTCAAGCAATTATGCCAATTTACACTTCTCAGATCTCTAGGGCCAGGGAGAAGGCTGGTGACTTGGAGTCTAACCAAGTCCTACCAAATCCCTGCTTTGGATCTGTAGAGAGCGGCAGTTGTCAAATTCTATGGGTGCTTGCTAAGATGTCGATTCTCCACCCTCGAGACACTAATGCAGTTGGGATTGGAGAAAAGGTCCAGGATTCTGTATTTCAGGGATACTACATGTATTTCCGATGGATGGTTCCTTATGGACACTCTAATATAAGATGGATGCATTGGGACATGGATACTGAATCCCAGTGATGTCATGGTGAAAGCTTGCTTTTCGCAAAGATTACAGTAATTCACTGATGGAATAGCCTATCTCCTCTAATAAGCAAAACTTACTAACATGCACACACTCCTGTAGAGACAAATATTCAACCTGATCCTGCCTTTCCAGAAGCATATACCATGGAGACAAATTTAATAAAATCGGTGTGAAATCTTGATCAAGTCCAAAGAGTAAGTGATCCAGAGGTGGTCTGTGGGCTCATTAAGGATGTGTCTGGCTGCATGAAATGGAAAACCCAACCACCATGGGGAAACAAATTGTTTCTTTTTCTCAGGAAAGAAATCTGGAGGGGTGTCTTGGTAGAGTTAGCTCAGCTGGCTTTTATCTTTGGAAATTCTCATGCCTTTCCCTTCAGGGATGACAGTTTAAGCTCCTGCAACTTCAGCTGTTACATTCAGCCCAAACCCAGCAAGAGGTCAGGATGAGGGTTAGAGAGCCAGGGAAGGTGTTTCAGAAAACAAAGGCTTCCCCACAGGGTGCCCTGTCCTTCCCACCCCACAGATAATGTTTCACTGTGTCTTCTGGGTTGGATGGCGAGTCTTAGCTGCAAGGGAGGCAGGGAGTGGGGATTGGTTTATGTGGATTGTACTCTAATGCCCGAGATGACTTGTTGTCATTGCCTACAAACTCAGGGTTCTGCTAACCTGACAGTAGGCACGAGTGGATATTGGATGGGCAGGCAGCAATTTCAAGCACAGCAAGGGGTCGGCAGATCCTATCTTAGTAGAAAGGGAAGTTCACAAACTTTGGAGATAACCCAATGTTATTTCAAATCCAGCTTGTCTGTTTACTTTATCTTGGGCTAATGATTTAGGTTTCTTTGCTCTACAGTTCTTTTTTTTTTTTTTTGTCCAAAATGGCAATCAAAGAATAATGTTACCTATCTCAGAGGGTGGCCATGAGGCTGGGAAGAGATGACATGGTCCAGGGTCAAGTGCTATGAAAAGCATGGTGCCTGCACGTGTTGAGTAAGCCACAGCCATGATGCTGGTGATAGGAGTGACGAAGGAACTGGACCACATTTCTGAAGTATGTGTAAAACCCTGATTTTCTGTAGGATGCTAGTGTTTTTCACTTTTTAAAAAAGATTTATTTAATTTTTTGTTGGAAAGTCAGATATTACAGAGAGGAGGGGAGACAGAGAGGAAGATCTTCCATCCATTGATTAACTCCCCAAGTGGTCACAATGGCCTGTGCTGAGCTGATCTGAAGCCAGGAGCCAGGAGACTTTCACAGGTCTCCCACGTGGGTGCAGAGTCCCAAGGCTCTGGGCCATCTTCTGCTGCTTTCCCAGGCCATCAGCAAGGAGCTGGATGGGAAGTGGAGCAGCCAGGACCTGATGGGATGCCAGCACTACAGACAGAGTATTAACCTGTTATATCACTGCACTGACCCCTGGGGAGGATTTTGCAGTAAGTTGTTATTTATGGACCTTATTATTATTTCCATTTCAATATGTAAAGCCTGTTACTAACCAGGCCTTATGAAAAAACAGGTAATTGGTCAGATTTGGCTCATGGCCCAGGCTTGCAGATCCTAGTCGTGTGGGATGGGTGGGATAGGTAAGAACTTGGAGCACAGGGGACCATCTGAAAGATAAGCAGAGAGTCCTAGGACCAGAGGGCACTGGACAGGAAAGGGCCTGTTTTCACATATCCTAGCACAGTGGTATATGCCATTTTTTTACATAAAAGATTCATTTATTTTTTTTATTGGAAATGCAGATCAGATTTACAGACAGAAGGAGAGACTGAGAGAAAGCTTTTCCATCTGCTGGTTCACTCCTCAGTGACCACAAAAGCTGGAGTTGAGCTGTTCGAGGCCAAGAGCCAGGAGTTTCTTCTGGAACTCCCATGCAGGTCCTAAGGCTTTGGGCCCTCCTCTGTTGCTTTCCTAGGCCACCAACAGGAAGCTGGATGGGGATGGGAGCAGGTAGGACTCAAACCAACACCCATATGGGATGCCGCTACTGGCAAGTGGAGAGTTAACCTGTTGAGCTACTGTACCGGTTCTGGTATATAACATTCTTGGTTGCCTGTGTTTAGTTTTATTTTGAGTGACACAAAGAGAATGAAAGAGCTGCTATGCATTGATTCACTGCCCACTGTGGCCCTGGGTGAACTCTGTCCAGGTCTCCCATGTGGGTAAGAGGGACCAGTGTCTTGAGCCATCCCCGATGTCTCCTAGGGCCTCCAGTGGTAGGGAGTGGAGTCAGAGAGGAGCAGACACTGGTGGGGGAGGCAGCGCCCCATTTGTGTTCTGATGCCCAAGGCCACGGCTGTACAGGCGGCTCTCTCAGCTCAGGGTGGTCGTCACTGTTTCTCAGTGGATGGAGAATCTGGGGTGAGGACAGGAAAACTTTTTTTTTTTTTAACCAAAGGTGA